GCCGTCCCAACACGTCCCAGTGCTAGCCTTAGCCGTCCCAACACGTCCCAGTGCTAGCCTTAGCCGTCCCAACACGTCCCAGTGCTAGCCTTAGCCGCGCCAACACGTCCCATGCTAGCCTTAGCCGTCCCAACACGTCTCATGCTAGCCTTAGCCTTTCCGAACACGTCCCATGTTAGCCTTAGCCGTTGGACCAGAGGGACAAACCTGTGGACCTCTGGGCTTCATTCTCTGGAACGCGCATCAACATAGCGCCTGATCTGGTCTGCAGTCCCTCATAAACCAGAACCATCTGAGGTCCCGCAGAGACAGAGCGGTACTGATGGGTCCATTGAAGCCACCAATGAGAGTCCAAATGGGATCAGATGTTTCTGCCGATCATCTTCCGTCTCCTAGGAGTCCAGATCTCCCCTCACTCCTCCCCCTGGTCACTCTTCTTCTCTCCCTCTGATCCTCCTGCAGACTCGACCAGCAGACCCCGTAGTCCACCTCAACCCCCTCCGCTGCCACCGGGACGCCCGCCACCACCCACCCCGCCTCAAGAGAGGGGCAGCGAGGCCGAGCCCACAGGAGGAGGAGCAGCACCGCCCCTTGGAGCCGCCGCCGCCGCAGCAGGCGGAGCAGGGAGTGGAGGAGGAAGTGGGGGCAGCGGGGGCGGCAGCGGGGGAGGAGTGGAGGACTGGGAGGAAAGGGAGAGAGACACTCCTCTACGGCAGCTGGACGCTGTGGACGGGGAGGACAGGGACGCAGCCAGGGCCCCCCGCGCCGTCGACAACCAGTACTCCTTCTTCTGAGGGAGGCGGCGGCCATCTTGGCCGTCCAACACTACAGAGACGAGCCGCTGCTCAACACTAACAGCTGAACACTTCTTCACTCTGTGGTCCGAAAAGCTTCAGGTTCTGAATCCTCCGGGTCAGAACCCAGCGGACCCAGTACCTCGCCGTGGTCCCGCCAAGACAGCCAAACCTTCTCTAAGCGTGTTCCTACTGCGCCGAGCAGACCCAGAACCTTACACCGGCCCTGGTACCGCCGCCGACCACTGAGCCGGGCCTCCTTTGGACCCAGGCTTCCCTCCAGAACTCAAACGTTTTAGCCCAGAACCAGAACCTTTCTTTAGACCACTGTCAGTCATTCAGGGGAAAAGGTTCTGAAGCCTCCAGCAGAACCAGAGAGGTGTCTGAATCGGACCTTCACCAGCATAACCCAGGAGAGCATGAAGCCTCCACCGGGCCTCTGGAGGTCCAGTTTGCTCAGGTTCTCCTCAGCAGAACATGTGGAGACGATGTAAGTTCTGAAGACGACCCGCTCCATCCTTCTGGGAGGAACCTGTTCTGGATCCCAAAGGACGCCATAAAACCCAGAACCGTGACAGCGGCTGAGGTTCAGCAGAACCAGAACTTCTGCTGCATCAGAAGGTGGGGGTGGGGGGTCCGACCCGGTTTAGCCCGGAGAAGCTCCAGCCTGAAGAACCTGGACCTGCTGCTGGGTTCTGTCCTGATGCTTGGATCGGCTGCAGGTTCTGTTGACCCAGTTCTTGGTCACCATGGTAACAGGAGCCTGTGGAGCTGAAGGTTGGTGACAGCAGCAGGTTCTGACCCAATCAGAGCCCACTGGACCAGAAGGTTCTGTTCCATCCACCAAATGGGTCCAACTGGTCTCCGGTTCTGCCTCCATCAGCAGCTTCTGTTGACCCAGAACATCCAGACGTTTCTATTGGACCCAGGTCCAGAACCGACCCAGCAATAAGACTCCTGGTTCCCAGATGGTCACCTGACAGGAAGTGGTCTGTGATTGGCTGGAAGCTGAGCCGTGTAACGTTCTGGGTCTGGAGCAGGAAGGAACCATTTACCTCAGAACCGGACCCGGGTCAGCCGGGTCAGAACTATAGTATTAAAGGCTTTTATTTTCTAAGCGTGTTCCATCTGGGTTCAGACGTCTTCGTGCCTTTTTGGTTCGCCCCCCCAACCCCCCCCTTTCTGGTTGTGCCTTTCCGTCCCCCGTCCTCCCCCCGTCCTCCCCCCTTCCCTGGTCTCATTGGAGACTCTTCGTGCCTTTCTCTGTCTCTCCTCTCTCTTGGTCGGGACGGTTTGCTGAGGACGGCCGGCGCCGCCGCTCCTCGCCGTGTGTCCGTAGTTTCAGGTACTACATTGAATTTAATGATGATATAATATAAATATAGTGAAACATGGAACCGGACCTCTGCTGTCTCATTTCCTCTTTGTAGCATTAAGGTTCTGATCCGATTGGACATCGTCTCCAGATGTTTGATCTGGTGGGACGGGTACAGTCTGAGCAGATCCTGTTCCTCCTCCCAGTGCGGAGAAGCAGCTGCTGCTCTGAGCTCCTCCCCTGGTTTCCACGGCAACAGAGGTAACCATTGCTGGGCTCCAGAATCTGGTTCCGGGTTATGCTATGATTCTCCCAGCCTCTCTGCAGAGGACCAGAGGTTCTGGTCTTGGTTCTGCTCACCTTAGAGCAGTGAGGAAGATGATGCTGTCTGCGTTCTTCAGTCTGAGATCCAAAGAACCAGAACCTGGACTAGAGCAGTAGGAAGAGGCTGGTTCTGATGATGGCGGCTCCTCTGGGAGGAGCTTCTGTTCATCCAAAGACGAATGAACCAGATTCATCGATGACGTCATCCTCGGATGGCCCCATCGATGACGTCATCCCAGGATGGCCCCGTCGATGACGTCATCCCAGGATGGCCCCGTCGATGACGATGACCTGATAGCACCTGCTCTAGGGGGCGCTGCGTTCAGTCAATGAGGTCAGAGTCGGTTTGTTGCATTTTTCTCTTTAATTGAAATCAGCAGGTAAATGAAGACATTCTCAGGAGTCGTCAGTGAAAGTAAAGCTGAAACAAGCTGGCGCCGCGGGGCCCCAGGAACATTGGCAGGTTACCATGAATGAATGAAATAAATGCCCGATAGCAGGAAGTCTCCTGGCCTCTGTGCTAATCTGGATTAATCTGGATTCTGTTCCGATATTAGTGTTCCCAACCTCAACACGTCTCTCAGAGATGCTGATTTAACAGGGTCTCATTTAAAGGAATCAGTTATCAACATGTCTGACCCACCATTCAGTTCATCCCTTTAATCTCTAAAGGTCATGTGATCGGTCATGTGATCGGTCATCTGTGGAGTCTTAGGGACTCCAATCACCAAAGCTCCTGTTAGGTGGGATCAAAACATGAAGGAGATCTCAGGACCTTTAGGATGTGGATTCATCCTGCTGAATGTTTGCTGCATCAGGGAAACCAGGAAACCAGGATCGTTTGGTTGGTTTAGTGGATCCGTCCACTCAGAACCAGGTGAGATGCTCTGCAGGCAATGGATCCCCGGATCGATGGATCCCCGGATCAATGGATCCCCGGATCAATGAATCCCTGGATCACCAGATCGATGGATCCCCGGATCCATGGATCACCGGATCGATGGATCCCCGGATCGATGGATCCCCGGATCCATGGATCACCGGATCGATGGATCCCCGGATCGATGGATCCCCGGATCGATGGATCCCCGGATCCATGGATCACCGGATCGATGGATCCCCGGATCGATGGATCCCCGGATCCATGGATCACCGGATCGATGGATCCCTGGATCGATGGATCCGACTCTCCAGCGTTTCTGTTGATCCAGGTCAGGTTTCATTCATACTACTTCCTGCTCAGAGGTTTAACCAAAGCCAGTCCGTTAAAGCAGGAAGTGACGGACGGCCAATCACAGGTGAGCAGATGATGAACCATCTCTGGCTGTTTAACTAAGCAGGAGCTGCTGGTTCAGATCCCGGTTGATCTCCTTCAGAGGTTCTGGTTTTGGTCTGTTAAAATAAAACTAGTTTATGTCAGAAGCAGGCGGCTGGTATGGAGACATGATGGACGACCGTCTATCAATGTTCTACTTCTGGTTTATTGGGACACAGCTGGGCCTGAATCTATTCACACCCAGCAGATTTAGGTTTGAACGCTGACTGGAAAAGACTTCAGCAGAAGAAGAGTCTCTGTTTAAATTCCATCTGGATAATAAGCGCTGAGCGGGTCCTAGCGCTGATGCTAACAGACAGTCTTCTCATGGAGGAGCCTAGAAGGCCTCTTCACCATCATCCTTTAGATCCGTGATCAGTTGGTTCTGGACCCAGAATCAAGACCAGCCGGTTAAATCTAAAGACCAGTTCAGACCTAAATCTGCTGGAAGTAGGAATCCTTTGGGCCGGCTGCAGGGTTGGAACCGGGCCGGACCCGACCCTGCAGCGTATGGATAAGAGCGAAGCTAAACCGAAACACGTTGGCCTCTGGCAGGGTCAGGGTTCTGATGAAGATGAGGAAGTCGGGTCGGTTCCCCCCACCAGGCGCTGCCGGGCTAACAGTGGATCATCTGAAAGCAGAAAACGGAGCGAATGAGCTGCTGTTCCACAGGTGGGTGATTTAGCTCAGGTGAGTTCCAGAACCTACAGGCGGCTGATTCACATAGTTATCATCATCGTCGTCATCATCATCATCGTCGTCATCCTCCTCCGGCTCACTGTGACCCAATATGTCTGCCGTGGCACCTGCAGGAAACACGTTTGGTATTTAAGGAACCCAGACAGATGAAAAGAAAGGTTCTGAACTCACTGGGCGGGTCCATCTCGTTCAGGTTCAGGTAGTCTGAGGAGAGAAACAGAGCAGACCATCAGAACCACGGACCCAAAGGCTCTGATGACCCGCAGGCCAGACTGGGGCTCAACTTACTGGGCTCAGATTCTGGGTCCGAGTCTGGTTCTGGTTCTGGTTTGATTATTGCTTCTTCTGAAATGAGACATTTGCAAACGGTGACAAAGCAAAGAGAAAAGGCAGCAGAACGTTTTTCCTTCAGACGAACCAGAACTCACCAACGTTCACGTAGTTATGATTATCTGTGGAGAAAACAAACGGATCAGACGTGACCAGCTGAACATGCTAACGGCTAAAGCTGATATGTCCATATGCACGGTAGTGGCAGCCTAATGCTGTGTGGTTCCTTCCCTGAGAGCGGCTCAGGTTGTTAAATTTAAGGGACCATGATGGAAGGAACCGGAGGAGAACCTCTACCTGAGCTGGGAGTGGAGGCCCGACTCTGATCCGTTTCAGGAAGAACCTTTCTGTAGAAATCAGAGAAGAAATGATGAGAGGGGGGGGTCAGTGGTGGGTGGAGCAGCAGGGGTTGCTCAGACCTACATGTATCCGTTGTCTTCAGCGTCGCTGTCCTGGCAATCAGGTCCTGTTGGAAAAAAACAAACAAAGTTCTCAAACGAAGTACTGGACCAGTTTCCCTGTCCGGTCCACATCCAGATATCCGGTCTATATCCAGATATCCGGTCTATATCCAGATATCCGGTCTATATCCAGATATCCGGTCTATATCCGGTCT